TCACTTTTTTATAATTTAATTTAAAAAAAAAATAGATTGAAAATATACAAGTCTTTAAGTATGAACAACATCATCAATAATTTAAAAATTGATTTGAAAAACCATTTCATCACTATTATTCCTCGTTATTGCTCATATTAGAAATTGCCTTGCATGAATTATAAAGTAAAGTTAAATCTCTAATGATTTTGAAATAATTAAAACATAATTTGAGAAAGTAGTAATAATAATTCTCAAAATACGTCTTCAACTTCAAATATTTATATTTTAAATTTCTGAATTACACAGAAACTTTTTTGCATGCACATTTGCAAAATATTTATAATTACATCGATAGCTTCTTAACCGATTTTACCGTTTAAAATATCGTGTTTTTGAGCTTTTGTTTAGAACGTCCACCTTTTTTGTAGGAAAAATGTTGGCTGTAAATGGAGCAACACGGCGTAACTTGCTCTTTTACCCGCTCAAAGGCTATTCGCTTGGTTAAAGAAATCCAATTTCGAGCATAATAATAGGAGGCGAGAGAACGGCGGCGAACGCCGGTCGGCCAGCGGCGAATTAATAAGTAAATAGATATCAGCGGCCACAATGAGGCACTTTGATTATGAGGCCTGACAAAAAAAGCTGCTGCTGCACGGCGCAGAGAGCGACGTGGCCAATCCAAGGTCCTTCCGTGATGTCTCAATTATAGACCTCTCTCTTGATCTCCACGAAACTAACGCCAGAATAAAACACGGAATTTTTAGATAAGTTAATAAATTTTTATAGTGATGGCACCGACGAACATCTCAAAGGACACCAAATTTCACCGGCCTTGCTTGAATAGCTTGATGGTTTGATTTGATGGCGCACTTATGCTCCTAAAAAGGAAGATTATTGTTTATATTGGTCTTAAATCATTTGCTTACAAAATTTTACGTTTTATTGTTTAAAATGAAATTTTCCTTGTTTTACGAAAAAAGCGGATTTTTATAATTAAATTTGATTTTTTTTCCATTGCATGCATTTAATTATAGTGAGCCTCATTAAAGTACATCCATGACGTGTAATTATTTTCCTCGAAACAGGAATAATTGTGCAGGAATTGAATCATAATTGATTCTAATGAGATGCGCCACCAATAGTTAGTATATCTTTTCAGTGGTGTAATTTAATGGTATGCCCTGTTCAGTTTATTAATTAATGCAGACCGAAATTATTCTCATGTGGTGGAGCCGTGGCGAGATAATTATTCAAATGCAGCCAACTAGATGGTTGCATGCATCCTGATTAACGGAGAGGAAACAACCCTTTTACTCTATCACAACATGCGCGGGCGTGAGCGCACGTCATTTCAATTACCACAAAACAATGTACTTCTGTAATAATATAAGGGTGCGTGCGACCACCATGTCCAGCTCATAACAGCATACAAGTCACCACAACAACACGCATTTTTATTATGTAATCATCAACATGCACAGGAGGAAAAATTTGGTTGTTTTGACGTTTGCATGTAATGCAAAGCCTTTCATGTGGCTTAAAAAAATCTCTTCATTTAATGACTTAATCATTTATCTGCTTGTAAAAAATTGTGTGAAACGTTATTTAAAGGTTATCTTATCATAATGCATTAGCTAGGTAGTCGCCTAAATTATTATTATCAACATTATTTGTTGTTCAAATAAATTTATAAAAAAGTAAAAATTAAAAATATATTAGATATTGTATTAAAATCTGCAAATTAATTTATTGCAGACCTAAAACTTATTCATTAGATTTAGGTCATACGACTTATTTTATTCATACTCCTATCCTGTAAATTATTTTGATCAAGGTCTAAGAATACGAATATAATGTCGTAACGATTATGAATGTGTGACTTAAATCCATGAATATGTAAAGTTTAAGGTTTGCAATGGCAGGATTGAGGTCAATATAATAAAAGTAACAATATAAGTCATGACGATTATGAAAATATGACCAAAATCAGATGAATTAATAGTGTTTTAGGTCTGAAAAAAATGCAGAATCAAGGTCATTTATCATTTTTAAAAATTAAAATAATATATAATGTATTATTTACGACACGATTTAAAATATTTTTTTTTTCAAAACGATCATTAAATTTAACTGAATTTAATTATTGATTTCTTATGTCTGGAGTTCAAAAAAGTTTTGTTCAAGATTTTTAAATTATGCTTACTCTTCATTTCATAAATTCACATCAGAATAAATTCAGACTGGATGAAGAAATTCCTTATCAAATGTATTTCATAATTTTATTAAACAATAGAAAAACTGAAAATTTCAAATAGTACATGTTGTATGAAAGACTTCCTTTTTCTTCATTTTATTTTTATACATTTATACAAAGTAAAAAATTTTCTCTCAACCCTCCATTCACTTTGGTATAGCTTTGGCGTCTCGGATATTCAGAAAACGAGGCAAATTATTCATGGACCATCAGTCATGTGGCATCTCCTGGGCATTGTGCATGCTAAAAATGAAAAGAAAGACTACAAGGAATGCTCAATGCTCTTCTTCCTTTCGCTTTTCTCTATTTCTGCCGGTTCGAAGTCTTTCTCGGAAAAGCACTAGGAGCTGAGAGTTTTCTTTTCTTTATTTTTTCTTCCTTGCTTGCTTCTCTCGCAGGGAGCAACAGCGTTGGATGGAGAATTGGAGCTTGTTAGCGAGTGTTTGTTGGGGCTAGTTATGCTAATGCTCACTCAATTTGCCGCATTCTCGCCATTTTTATTTCCGGCTCAATTTGCAGGCGGCGCGTCACAATCACAGTCCACCGTTCGCTCTCTTGCAAAAACATTTCCTAGCCATCCTCTCTCGTCCGCTCTATATCTCCAGGCTAACGAGCACTTTGCGTCACTGTACGCATAATGTGGCACAACTTCACCTACATTCCAAGTAGGATATTCCTACGTATTTATTATAACAAAGGGTTGGCGAAATTTTTATGCAATCGCATTGTTCCTCCAGGAATTTCTCGATAATTTGCGATACGATATTCCCGATTGTTAAAATTTGATTGCTTGAATATTTTATTGAAACACTAACGCAATTATTTTAATTTTTTCCTCTTTACCGATGTTGATGTTTTGGTTTAATTAAAAAAATCCCAGATTAATTAATATGCAGCACAAAATTTTATGTGAAAAATGTTTTGTTTTTAAATATTAATGAGGTAAATTCTTTCAAAATAAAAACATTTAAATATAGAAAAATTAAAACTCCAGTGAACTGCCTAAAGAGATGAAAACATGGGAAATCAGCAAGTTTCTTCAGACCCGGGGAATGGTAATTTATATGAAGCGGATTTAGGTGGCAAACAAATAATCCATGCTTTGCCGACTGATCAAGCCTTAGAATTATTAGAAATCTTAATCCAGACTCTGCATTTTTTTTTTTTAAATTGATATCATCTTTTTTTATTAGAAGAACAAATTAATGTGTATGACTGAAAGTTTTAATTTTGGGATGCTACTTATGACGTTCTATGAAAATCATGTTTGTCTTGCAAAGTTTCAGTTTTCATTAATTCCACACTAACAATAAGACTTTGAAAAAAATATTTCATTTGTGTATCTTATTGCCTTGGAAACAAATTCTGATTTTGCAACCAATCTAAAATGTTTATTTATTTTAATTCAAGTCAACTGATGAAAGCTGCAAAGAAAATACGTCATTGGGGACAGAAAGTGTAAAAACTTCCGGCAGCGGTCCCTTGTTAAAAATTTCTGCAGCTGCAAACGTTGGAATAATGCTGGTCGGTGGGTATCAGCAGTAATGTGCCGCGAATCTGTAATGAGCTCCAGTCGGCCGGGCACGGCAGGCAGTATAATGAAAAATTAATTAGTATGCACCAAATATTGCGCGCGGCTGTGACGCCAAAACACACCCGAGCCAGACGTATCTGGTGAAAAAAGGCAGCAATCAATCGATTTCACATATTTTGCGCGACCAACGGCGTGCGGAGAGCAGCGAAAATATTGGCGAACGAACGAATAAAACGTGAAAAGTGAAAAAAGGCGCCGTCGATTCATTCCTGGTCGTTAAAACATTTTCGACGCCGCACGCTTTCGGGGTGCTGCTTTCACCCCGAATATAAATATCGTTAGACGGTGGTGGAGAGAGGCGGGTAAGTGTGCACGTACGCAGCGAGTTGGCACCCCGGCGTGCCAACCCCGAAAGGGCCCTGCCGTGTTTGCTCAACACAGCCCTCACATCATTAGCAACGGTGCTGCCTTTTTTTCGATATTCCAATAAAGCAGAAGGAGGGCCACGTTTAAAAAGAAAGTCATACGTGTTGAAAAAAAGGATTATTAAGGATAACATGATTTCGGAAAAATTTTAAATATATTGAGATGTTTTAAAAAAAAATATCATTTCTAAATTTCATACTTCCCTATTTTGCAGATAAGTAAAATTAATTTCTTTTTTCTGGTTTTTCGGTCTAAATAAGTATTCATTTTTTTTTTTACAGTAATTTTATGCATTAATTCAATATTAATCTCTACAGATTTATCAACGCAAATTTCAATTTCTCTACTCTACAACACATTATACGATGGTATATATTTTGCTGCTTTTCTGATGGCCGGGCCAGACGCTTCCTTCCATTCAAATTCTCACTCCGCTGGTTAGACCACGAAATAGTTTAATTTCAGAGGCGAATATACTGTCAGGGCGACTTTGTCTGTGTGCGGTGGGTTATTTTGGTCGCCATTCAGTTAGCTCGTCGGGAAATAATTTGCGTCGAAACTCGAAACGATCCCTCACCTCAGCACCCTTTGATTAATCCGTCTCAGAGAGAGCTGAGAATAGTAAGCTATGCAAAATTACAGATCCATACGCTAATTAATATAATATTCGCGTGCCCAAAACTTGATCTTGTTGTCTCCCACTTTTTTTAAACCAATAGTTGAAATATTATTATCACTAAAATACAAAATTACAGTTGAAGTCCTGAATAAATTGAAAATAAAAATCATTTTTTTTATGAAATAATCGTCAGATAACCAGTTTTTATTTAAATACCTATACAGTAAATTATAAGAAAATATTGACCATATAAGTATTGCTGGTAAATACATGGATTAATTAAGTTTTCCAGTAAGCGAATGATTATTTTAATTATAATGCGATTATTCGCAAAGTATTATTATTGTAGGTCAATATTATTCGTTTGCATAAAAATGTTAAAATTCATGTCGGTTGGGGCTTATAACCTATGGTGCCATGCGAATTTTTTGACATACACAATTTCTCTTTAAGTGCACCACGCATTGGCTCGTTGCACACTACACAGATTAGGAATATCAGCACCCCTCGTAGGGCATTGATGGAATCCAAGATGAGCCAAAACACCCCTTTACCATGGCATGCCCACGAGATGATTTCGAAAAACCACGTGCCGCCCATTAAAATGAAAATCTTCGCATACAGGCGCAGTTGATTTTTTTCTTGCGAGTCCATAATTTGCACGGGACCTGCTTCCTTCCGGAAAAATCTTAGCCGCGTCGCCGCCAGTAAAAACAGGCACAAGTTCACCACGAGCAGGATGAAAATTGGACCGTTGAAATAAAGTAAAATCGGCCAAAATCCTGTGTAAGAAAAAATGCAAATAAAATACAATCTGTTAAATTGTTCACGGATTTTATATTGCCTGTATTTTTTTTGTTTGTTAATTTTCAGTTAAAAAGCATTACTTTCTTATATAAATATGGAGGTTAAAAAATAATTTAAAATGATACCTTGGAACCAGCAATTATGGACTCCAATTCCAGGGCTAAGTGGTGTGCGTGTGGTGAGATCCAAAATTAAGGTGACGATAAAAATAGCCAGTGCGGTGCCCCACGCGTATGTTGACAGGGCGCGAAATTTTCCATCGTGGGCTTGAAGTACAATTCTATTGTACAAGATAATTAATAAAAGATTTAAAACCTAATACTTATCAAATACTTTACCCCTTAGAAGCCAGGTAAATATCAATGCACATGACATTTAACCAGAAAAAGGATGCCATCATAAAAAGATAAGTGACGAAAGCTGGAAATTGAAATTTCCGGAGAAAATTAACTTCATTTTATTTTAAATATTACCGACGAATTTGCACACATAAATGTGACTCTTCTCTCCGCTTAAATACGTGATTGTTAGTCCAGCAAAAGCGATCAGCAAACATCCAGAGTGGCACACCACAGATCTACTGTAGGCCGAATTGTTTCCAGGGGCTATACAAAACGCCACAATGGTCAAAAGCAAAAATATAGCGCTCAAAATGAAAAATGCAGGGAGAATGTTGAATTTCATTTCTTCTGGTTCCTCAGCATCAGCATCATTGCTGCAAAGTACAATTTTTTCGCGTTGCGCTTCCTGTGTAGTTAATTTTTTTGTTTTGTTTTAGTAATTAATATAATCAAATAAAATTTTAAACTCACTTGAGGAATCAAACAAAACTCACTGGTTTGAATAATATCAGAGACGTCGGCATTATTAACGGGAGGGTAGTATAAAGATCCGTTGGGATAAATATGGTACTTTTCGTCGTCGTCAAGCAGGACAGCAATATGTTGGCAAAATGCTTCTTCAACCACGTTAAAATGGTCTTTGATCAAAACTGAATGCGATAGTCCATCAACGCCCTGAATTTTTATCGTGAAGGGCTGTTTTGCTTCTGTTGAATTTGCCCTCAAAGCCAAATCTAGAAAAAAAACCATTATATTCTAACTACGACATCACAAGACAAAAATCAAAATTTTTAACAAACAAAATTAATACGTGGAGATGAAATACAGTGATTTTTGTAATTAAATTTAATATTTATATTTTACCTTTTTCACATAGCCGAATGCAAGGTCCTAGTAGACAGGGGCATGCCCACCAATACTCGCCTTCACGCCAAAAAGTGCCTTCTGGATATTTGATTCCGTCAAACGCTTCAAGTTTTCCGTCTGATTGAACGGTTCCAAAATTTATTTTCGTCCGCTGCAGCTTGTCGCATGGTTCAATTCCGAATACCAAGCAAGATCGCCAAAATATTAGAAAAATAAAAATTACTTGTCCTGCAGCTCTCATGACTTTGACTGAAAGTGGGTTGATTTACTTAAAAAAAAAAACCTTTTACGGATGTATGGTGGTGACTAGGCGGTGAGTTGTATCCTGTCTGTAAGCGAGAAACAGACCAAAGCCACTTCTGGTAAACCGCAGATGTGATATTTGCGACGAAATATGAAGAAGGAAAATTTTGATTAGATCTTGGTTAAATAACCCTTATCATTTTTAGTTAATTATTTTTCTGTACTTAAGATTTAAAGACACACATTCACTAAATTTATTTTTGCTAATATGATTAGCTTAATTTATCTTGAAATGTATTTTTCACCTGGCAATTGAAAATTAAATGGTTTGTTGAAAAAACTATTCAGCACATTTAAAATTATTGAAAAACTCATAAATTGATGAAATTATTTAAAAAACCCACTAGGGCAAATGTGGTTTTTTAGATATTGAAGATTTAGGAACATTCTTCTCTAGTGCTGGGGCTGTTTAATGCAGCAATTAAATTTTTTCCTCTCAAAAATTATACATTTTGCTTTTGTACAATGTTTTAATACAATTTGACAGTTTTTGCAATAATAATTTAAGAATCTGAATTGAGAACAAGGCCCGTTTTCCTCACTTCCATTATCGCCTTCTCATCAATTTCTTCTCTTAAATTTAAGAATTGTTAAAAAGTGTTAAAATGGATAACATCTTTTTTTATATTGTATTACTCTCTTGAAACTAAAATTATTAAAATTTGAATAGCGGCCTTATCACTCGAACGCAAATTCTTCATTTTAAAGCAAAATTTTAAAATTACAACCACTTCTCCCTTCTGAAATGCAAGTTCAAATAAAGTCATTATATGAAAATGCCAAATCAGTGATTAAACGAAAGAAAAATTACAGGTTAGCACAGCCGGCTAGAGAGAGAATGGTTAATTATCATCATTTCCTCCTCGCATCTGCCAACTAAACTTAATGTTGCGTATTTTCGGCTGCCCCTTTCGCGTTTCTGCTTGGTCGACCCACAATATTGCTCAGAAGCAAATTTAGCGGCACAACAGCTAATAAGAGCATTGTAGTGTAAACGAACCGAATAATAATTTTATGCACGCGCGGAAAACTCACGCAAGGGGCGTGTCCGGAGGGTAATTGCACACCTTGATTATATTATGCAGGCACAAATTAGCGACATATGGTTGGTCATACACACGCTTATACCATGAGACAACGCACTCGATTTTTTTTATAAGCAAATGATTACCATTCGTGTCAACGCTCCGATGAATTTTATTCCGCGCATGATAAAATTCAGCATGTGCGAGAATTAATTGATAATATTGTAATTTGTCTAATCTTGACAACTCTTTCCACTCTGGTAAATTAATTTATGGACCGCCAAAGAGACAGACAGGCTCATAGCAACTAATTAGCAGCTCACTAGAGTGTAGAGGAAATCAGTAAAGTGGAACTGATGAGTCTAAAAATCGACATCACGAAATTCTCTTTGTAATATTTTTGAATTTTACTATGGAACTGTAAATAATATCTTATTGAATACAAATATAATAAAACTGAGAAATTGTCAAACAGTAGTATATTGACACTTTTTGAAATGAAATCTGTGTGAGCAAGGAAACATATTATAATTATTTAATTTTAATAATTATTATTGCTGTTTATTTGTTGAAATGTTTAATATCGAATTAAAAAAAAAAGAATAAAAAAAAATCATTAAACTTATTTATATGAATAATTAAAAAAAAAATTAAAAAGTCACATATGGTAAAATTATATTATTATTTTATTATTATTGTTGCTTTAATATTTTTAAACCGGGAAAAAAATGTTTACTTTTTAAATTAATGAATAACATTGAAAATTTTAACAATCACTTGGCGTGAAATCGGTAAATACAATATTTCGCTAAATTATAATCATACAAGAATAATGCAGAGTTATCCAGTAATATTCACAACCTCTTAAGAAAGATGCGAAAATATTAATTATTATTCTTGATTAAGGTACCTTTATTTATTTATTTATCGCTTAAATATTATGCAAATACGAGAGCTGTACCTTTTTTGGGATAAAATTCACAAGTTTACAGAAAAAAAAAACAATTCTGGTGAGGAAATTGAATTTCAACTTCATCACATTACGGACGACTGAAAATGGTGGCGTATTCAATACACCTGGTGAATTTATATACAAATTTACTAACGCATACAGCAACAAATGCAAATAAGCAATTCTGATTGGATCTGGTGTGGTGGAGGCGACAACGGCATTGTCTCTTTGGAGGCGAGATGTGCACGCCCGTCAAGGTACAAACACACAAAAGCGGGCAGCGAGAGCGAGTCTCTATACTATTTCCGTTGTTCAATGAACTTTTTGATAAGAATGATGAATTTATGTGTGGGGTGCGCTGCGACAGCTATTTATAAACATCAACGCTCCGGCACAAAACAGACAGAGAGGCAGCCTGCTCCACTTTGGTCTGGATATATGAAATAATAATAACACATTCGAAACAACGCAGGTGTCAAAATTTATGACTGCGTTTACAATCTCGTCTGCTCATCGTTCTCAGGTGTCCTCAAAGGAAAAACACAAACTGACAGATTTCAGCTGATATAAACATTGACCGATTCTCTTTGGAACAGATTGAAATTGAATTGGCTGCTTGTTGAAGCGTGATTTTCTGATATTATTCTCAATAAAATAACAAAAAAGGTTATTTTAAAGAGACAAAATTCTCAAGATTTCATTTACCGTCGTTTTAAATTTTGGATTCAGATTCCATAACCCGTACGTAAAACGCGTAAAACTATTTTAATTATTTGCACATATCTAAATCTAGAATTCTAAAATTAATAATCGATGCCAATAAAAATAAAGTGAAAAATAAACTGAAACTTTCTTATATTTTTTCTGTTTTTTCACTTATATTAAAATTAAAAAAAAAAATTAAGTGCATATAGAGTTAAAATCTTGTGAAAATTATAATATTCTAGTAGAAAAAATAAAGTGCATAAACATGCATAAAATAATTTCATGTATTTGGGAAAAGGGACTATTTGTGAGCTTAGTACACAAGTATCCTCTACAATTAAGATACAAAAATTTGATCTATCTTTCATTTCCCGTCAATTTTGTCCAAAACTAAAACATTTGCTAAAAAAATCACTCCGGACCTTTGTTTGATGCAAGGTTATATATGTATATGTTATATTTATTCTGAAAGTGCCCCTTTATCTTGTAGAGTATCATTAAAAGCGTTTTCTGACGCCGCGAATTGGCTCGGTCGGCAGCTGTCGTCGCGATAATAATGGAGGGCAATAATGACCAGCAGACTCGCGATTTGCCTCGGGACCGAATAAGACTGTTGAATGCAAAACCACACGCTGATGATGACCACGGCGCCGCAGGGAAGCATCATCAGCGTCATTAGAATGTGACGACTCAATTTGATTAGCGCTTTTTGCACGCGTTATTATCCTTGATAATATATGCAGCTGCAATCAGCGAAAATTGACTTTTTTGCACAACATTCAATTTTATACATGTCTCAAAACCCATTTTCATTCTTTCGGACGTAGTTTATATACCAGCAAAAAATCAACTGTTCGTTTCTCAAAGCTCAGTCGATTTTATAATATGGCACAAGAAAATTGGTTTGCAATTTTTTTTTATGGAAAAAAGATTTATTTGATCAATTGATTTATTGACCAAAGGAAATTTTATTTCACTACCCATAACAAAATAATTATTTGGTTTTAAGACTATATTGATCATTATTTCCAGGGAAATTTTTGATAAAAAATATGGAATCATTACATCTGCCAGTTATGAAGTATTTAATATTTAAATCTTTTTTTTTTAGAAGGAAACGTTTTGCAATAAGAATTATTTTTCATATTTTAATTTAGAGAGGACTTATACTATCTGCATCAGCTAAGCACCTACAATTCAACTTTATAATTAAATAAATAATTGGATTTTAAAATGAATAGAAAACTAGGCACAAATATTGTAGTTTTAGTTTAAATAGAAGTGAATAGAAGGCTGGAGGGAAATGAACTCCAAGATTGGACAAATCTGCTCGCGCAAATGTAACTGTGGAAGTTTTATCACGCGACTTCTTCGCCGACCTCATTCGCACAAACTGCGAGTGAGCATACATTTTGAGCGTCTATGTCTCCCGCCACTGCAAATTCGTCCTCTTTTCCAGAAGTGGGCTTCCTTTTCACCACCGCGTGCCTCTCGAAATGAGAGAAGGTTCTCTCGGATGGATCAGCACTTTTCATTGTCACGCGCAGTTCTGTTTTTTGCCCTCTTTGCGTCAGAAACTGACGAGTGGAACACGGGCGCAGTCACAACTTTCCAGGGGTGCTTATGCAACTGGCCGAACGCAGCTGAGAGCACGGATGCATAACCCACAGGCGTTTCCAACATTTCCTCACTAATGACAACGACAGAAGAAACAGTGCAGATAGTTTTTAATAATTCATTTTTCTTTCTGGATGCAAGTTTTGTAAATTCTTGCAAATTTGTCAGCTTCAAATTTGAAGCAAGTTTTTCACTTCTTTCATCTCCAATTACTTCTAGGGAGGGTAGAATTATGCTTGTGTGACTTTGAGGTCGGCAGAGCAGACGCGAAATTTGTTTACGCAAAAACACACGCGTGCTCTCTCAACGGTGGCAGAGCTTTCAGAATTTAATTTGTACAAATTGCTATTCCATTTGCGTCATTCCGCTGTGAACACAGCTGGCAAATCCTCACGCGCGCGCCACCCCTTTATCGCCGTCGCAAAAACGGAATGTGGACGATCGTGGGCCATTTCCTCAATTGGCTCAATATTTTTTCTCTCTGCCCCAAAGGTGCAGTAATCCCGCCTTTATCTGTGACGTTGGAGTGTTGTGAATTTCCCAGAAATTCAATTAAAAAACAATCCGCATTCGGCAAGAATTACATTGGGCGTTATTCTAAGCTCTTCAAGCGTGGGGGAAATGGGAATCAATTCGCGA